TGAGACAATTAATCGCCCAGCAAAATTGTTATCGTGACAGGCCTATTCTTTAGTAGCTACATTTTCTTCAAGCTGTTTCTTCTTTGGAGTACTTAGTTTTGCCATCTTCTGTTGCCCCTTTTCCAAATTTAAAATGTTTTGGTGCTGTCAAATTTTGAACTGACTTAATTTCTTTTCTATGAATAAAGCGGTTTCTTCACTGCAAAAAATGTCCACCTAACCAAGTTTTAAAAYCTTATATCAGCCAAAAAGTCTTTTAGATCTTGTTTTGAGACTGATTTACTAAACAAGAACTGATTGTGTAAGAATAATAATCTTGTTTTCAGAATGTGTAAGATTATTTGTCTTGTTAGTCTGAAAATTTGACTYAAATTAAGTCAAACATTTCTACCAATTGAGTAAGAAAATTTTACTTGGTAAGATTCTTGAAATACTTGATTTGACTCAATTTTTTCTTATTTCAAGAATCTTACCTAAAATTTTCTTACTCCACTGGTAGAAATGTTTGACTTAATTTGAGTCAAATTTTCAGGCTAACAAGACAAATAATCTTACACATTCTGAAAACAAGATTATTATTCTTACACAATCAGTTCTTGTTTAGTAAATCAGTCTCAAAACAAGATCAAAAAGACTTTTTGGCTGGATGTAAGATTTTAAAACTTGGTTAGATAGCTTTTGCAATGTTGGAAATGTCGGACTATGTTTCAATGGTAATAAATATATATTTATGAGATTTGCAGATTATTGTATTTAGTTGTTATTTAAATGTTACACAACCATCACAGCCTTTTTGGATCAGTACTGTTTTTACCAACAAATAGCCAACGTCAGTAGCTTTAAAGAGAGCAGGGATTGTCCAGTTTGCCCTTCTTAAAATAACAATAATTGTGTTTGATCCACCTCTTCACACCTTTTCTTTGTTTTGTCTTCTCAGCATGAGACAGGAGACCGTTTGTCTTCACCACCTCCTCTGTGCCTTAGTCTTTGTAAAAATCAGGGAGCAGCTTTGTTGAAGAATACCTCAAGCTACAACGGCACAAAAGCAGAAAAAAGCACAAAAAGACAAATGAATGCTGCACAAAGGAGCAACTCTGCTAAAACAAGAATAAAACACTGTGAACCACAAAACATCCAAGTAACACAACCAAACAATCGGCTGCTTGTTGAAGGTGGTCCTCCGGCCATCTTGGCCGACGCCACAAACATCAAGCACCAAAGTGGAGCGTTGCTCCATGTGACCAAGCAGGCCTTGGAAAGTCTGTGTCCACTGGGAGGGARCAGAGGTCTCTGTTCCTCTCCGTCCAGCTTCATGCCGGCTGCCATCACTCAGCATCTCCACACAACCCAGCTGGATGTTGGAGAAGGTAACTGGTTAATGGGTGTGTCTGTTTGTAAATATCTTCTGAACCATCATGTACAACTGATTAACATTTGGAGCCAACCTGATTGAAACTGAATGTTGCAGCTATCGACTTTAGCAAACATTAAAATATATCCACAKGGTCTTAAAAAGTCTAATATTTGAAAATAAAATTTTAGGCCTAAAAGGTCTTAAAAATGCCCAGATTTTCATACAAGGTCTTAAATTTAATTTTGTCAAGTCTTAATTTTTTCTACYTTTGATCWTTCCTGAGAACCSTTGGCTGCATAAATAAAGAAAGTTAAGAGTCGTAGTCAGAGGTTGACATGATCCGTCTTCATGAGTTTGCTACTCATGATTAAACTACTAATCCCATGATAACTGCAGGCAACAATGGCACAGTTTACTTCCATGTTTTTGACCTCTTTGCCGCTACAACGCCCCACATACAGGAGCTTATTTACCTGCTCAAAAAAAACAGAAGATCAGTCATGTCCACTGCTTGTTGTTTAAACATGGGAAAGTGTGTTTTCAATGAGACTTGACTTGATATCAGTGATTTTTTCACTCAGTTGAAAGCAGTTCACAGCAGTCGGATATGACCGTTTCACTCAAATAATTTAGTGTTCTTGTATTAAAATTAAATATTCTTTAAATAACTAAATTGATAGCAATAAAAGGTTTCTCTTATAAAATTTCTGGGACCATTTGAATGTTTCTGTTAATGCGTCGATTTGGTCTTAAATGTCATTACTAATGGTCTTAAAAGGTCTTTTAAAAGGTCTGAAATTTAACTTACTGAAACCTGCATGAACCCTGACAAAACATGGGCTAAAATTTGGTGTGGTTGTAGCTGAGACTTTGAGTGCCAACAGGTCACATGAGACCTGTGTGTAAAACTTTGGTGTTCAAGGCTGCAGGTGATTATTCTTTAATTTCTTGTGGTCTAAAATGTCTGATACTGAGCATAGACAGATTGGTATTGAAGTTATATAACTTATAAGACTTTTACAGAAAAACGTATTGATTTTCCTGTAATTTTGAGTCACCAACTCATCAACGGCTGCAGTCCAATGAGATGGTACTTAAGGGTTGCAGCCAGACTCAGCATTTGAACTTATACTTCCTCTCTGACTCTTACTGTCTGACAGATGTGGCTTCAAACCCTGCAGGAGCTTTGGTTGGTTCTGTAACCACTCAAATCTCAGCCATCCACCTCACCAGGCAAGGACAACCTGCCAACACATCGTCTCCATCCCTCTCCTCTTCCACCTCCTCGGCACCAGCAGATGAACTGCTGGTTGGAGAGGCTCAGCAGTCAGAGTGAGAAACAGCTTCTCAGTCAGTCACTTTCCTCCTCCATCGTTTAGTTTTGAGCACTTTCTTTTGTTTGTTCCAGCTCGGAGTGCGTGATGCAGGTGGATGAGGAGGATGAAGAGCAGCACGATGAGCTGGAGACTGTCTGCTGTGACAATGGTAGGATAGCAATCAGGGAAAACGTGGAAAGTTACTTTCACATGTTACAGACGAGAAAAACTCAGGGAATTTGAGAAAAGCATTAAAAATCAGGGAAAACTCTGTTCTGATTTAATAGACAAACTTTCTGACGTTCAGATGTTTGCTGAAATGAAAACTCCTGAAAAATCTTAATGTCTACAGCTCAGACACAAATTTGGTTATGTGTCTGAACAATACAGACAATAATTTACTTCACATTTTTTGGAAAGAATATAGAGCCAGACTCACCAGTCTTACCCTTAATTCACACTAGATGTGGTTCCGCTCCGCTGCGGTGCGCAGCTGTTCGTTTGCACTCTCAACTTTTACAACATCCGGTCCGCTCCAGTGCAACGCACAGAGGAAGGAGCGTGTGCAGGAAGGGGTTCGTGAGATAAATCCAGTGATAAATGTGGAAGTCAGAGTAAAAAATAATTAATTCTGTGGTAGACGGACTCCAAACACAGCTGAAACGGCATGGCTGTCATCTTTTTGAAACTTCTGATTCCAAAATAAAATCCACATGTATCATGTGTGAATGCATATGCTGAATGCCACATGTATAAATATGTCCATATATTTATTAATATAGCTACAGTTTTTACAAAATTAGTTTGCCTTTGGTGAATTATTTTGAAAATACGGATGTTGTGTTTGTTTCTTTTCCTGTTGGTGCAACATGATCTTTGTAGATTTGACGCCGGAGCAGCTCTGGTATCCGGCAAAAATAGGATCAAATATAATTTTGGCGGATCGCCATCCGTTCACCGCCGCTGTGCAGAGCCAGTGTAAATACTCTCAATGGGCCTCATGCAAGAACCGTTCGTACGAACGGATTTGTTCTTAAATTGTGCGTACGAGTGATTTAGGAGAATTTGTGGCATTCACCAATGTTTTCATATTCTAAGATTTTTTTCAGATACGAACAAAATTCACGTGTGGTCCAGACCTGTTGTGTATTTTACGAGCAGTAAGTCTGCTGTTATCCAGACTGATTTTTCTCACTAATAACTTCATATTTCGTTAATTTGAAGATATTGAGTTGAAAATAAATCACACTCCATAATTATGTTGACAATAGGTTATTCTGTTTGAACTGGAATTCGATTTTCACGACATAAATTAATTAGATTAAATTAAATTGGCTTTTAATGCTGTTGTATAACACTACAGTATTAATATGAAGATCACAAACTAAAAACCAACTTAAATTATGCATTAATTGAAGTTTGGAGACATTTTAAAATGCTTATTTTCAGAACCACATCTGACACTTGTGATGGTCAGGAGGGGGGTGTTAGCGGTGTGTGACCGCTCTTCTTCTGAATAAATGAAAACTATGTAAAACAGGTGTTTACACTTAATCTCTACACTTGAACTCGTAAAGTTCTTCTTTTTAGTTTTCTCTGTCATTTTCATGAATGGACACTTCCTGATATCTGAGGCAGGAAACATAGCCTTATATGGTGTTTTTGGGGTGGTAATTATGCTAATTTCCTCTCCGTGTGTATGAGCAGCTGGATACGAACAGGTATAATTCATCATGTTTATGCAGCTCATTTACACACTTTTCCTAAAGATAGAAGAGTTTGTTGAATCTGACGTGACATGTTCGCACGAACCCTTTGTACGAACAAAAGTAAGAGAAATTTAGGATAAAAATACGAACATGTTCTTGCATGAGGCCCAGTGATAATAAAAGTTGCGTATTTGCAGCAGAGGTTGGACCGGCGCGGGGCAGAACCACATCTAGTACAAATCGGGGTTTAGACTCACCTCTTGTCCATTTTCTTCTCTTCAGGTGATTCAGACTGCTCCTCTGTTACTGATGCTTCATCCATCTCCAGGTAAAACACACAGATGTGCTTCTTGCTTCATGAAAAATTAGAAAGTCAAGCATTTGGAGAGAAAAATATCAAAGCTTTGCTTTGTGTTTAGAGCTTGTGTGTTTTATAAACCCTGTGTGAGAAACAGTATTTCTGTTGGACACCATAAGTCAGACCTATTCACTGTGTCCCCTGGGCCAAATACAGCCTTTTTTAAAAGCCTCTTGAACTTTCAGAAAGATACCAGAATATTAAACTGGTTTATCTGAATATAATGCAAAAAAAATGTGCAATAGTTAGTGGAGCTACTTCCATACATGGGGCGTCACATTATTCTGCTTTTAGAGACGGGGTAAATGTGTGCACCATAAGCAGTTTAACCTATTCATCTGACCTGTGTAGAAAGCAGTAAGGCTGCAAGAGGAAACCTATTAAACCGGGTACACACCAAACGCATTTGGAGCAGCCAAAGCAGCCAGTTTACTTGCAAAGTCTATGGTGGACACGCATCTAGGAGCAGCGCAGCACGTAGCGGCGCGTTTTGCCAGTTGAGAGCAGCGCGCAACATGCGGCTTTGCCGCAAACCTTTAGGAAACCTTTAGGAATTAAAGTTCAGAGGAATACGGTTCATTTAACTGACCTTATTTTGGTAGTTTTCTTTAACAGTTTCTGATCCAACAAAACAGCAAAACGTCTCATTCATCTTCCTCCGGTGCACTGAAACCATCGAAGTCCAGTCAGTGTCGGAGTTGAACGAGCTCAGAAAAGCTGCGTCACACAGCGGTATCTGTTCGGCGTTGCTTTCTGTGTAGTTTTCATCCTGGGGTAATGCTGGCTCTGAAGCTGTGGTACCCTCTTCATGTAGCAGTCCATCCTTTCGGAACCCGGGCCGAGCTTACGTGCAGTGGCTCTGTTTCCCTCCTGTTGCGCAATTTCGATAGCCTTCAACTTAAAAGCGGCATCATAGGAAGATCTTCTATTCTTTTCCGTGATGAGCGCGTTTGAATTTGAAGAGAAATATTTCGTCGTGTCTGTCGAAGATTAATCCGTCATGTCGTGTCTGCTACTAGCTAAAACAAAATGGTGCTTCTTCTTCTTTTTATTCGCGGCAATCACACGTCCGGCTAAAGAGCCCCCTGGTGGCTGAAGAAAAAAATCCACATATAAGCCACATGGTTCAAAGTTCAGGAAAAAAGTCGCTGCTTATAGTCCGAAAAATACGGTAAATAAAACAAAGCCATTGAATTTATTTCATCTTTATTACCCGTCATTAAAGACAGACTGGAAAAAAACCAAGACCCTCCTCCCTCTACAGCCTCTAGTCTGGTCCCGGTCTGGGGAGAAAAAAAAAGTCAGTGAGAGCACCTCCAAATTATCTAGTGAATTAATTTTCTGCTCTGTGCAACGTTCTCTTGCTCTTTAGTAAATAAAGCAAAGCTATTTCATTTATTTTATCTTCATTTTAAACATCAACCGACCGGAAAAAGAACAAGGACGCTCCTCCCRTTGCGCGTCTTCAGACGCGTTCTGTGTGAACGGACAGCTGCTGACAAGCAGCCAAACGTACGCGGTAGGAGCATTTTGGCTGCTCCAAACGCATTTGGTGGGAATCTGGCTTTAGTGGTGGATGACAAAGGATTTTTGCAGTGTTTGTAAAAGTAAAACAAAACAGAAAACTCTTAAGCTTGCACTGAATGCCCCAAGACCAGGGGCACTGGGGGAGTTGGAAGCCAGTCCACCCCTGGTGCACATAGTTTACATGTGAAAAGRCAAAGCTGGTGCTGTAGCTCAATAATGTGAAGCAAATGTTTGTGCATCCAAGAATCAAACAATAAATATATTTATTAGTGTGGAAATGTAAATGACACACAGCAACTTTGCGTTTTAGTTTACCATAAGAGAGCTGTGATTGGTTTCCAAACCTGACGAACAGTGTAGCTTCTCCTCTTTTTCCTGTCATTCTGTCAGTGTATTGTCTTTGGAGGCTGAAAGCAGCAGAGCCTCGTGGAAAGCTCTGCTTCATTGTGCGTCATGTAATTGTCAACATTAGAACTCCCCACCAAAGACTGGGAGCAGCTTCTCTGCTAAAACACACTGCATCGGGAGTGCTTTTGTGGRTCTGTTTGTGTTCATTTGTATAGACTGACAACCCCACACCCACCCTKTCAAGTAGCTAAAGCTCTGTAGAGTCAAATATCTTCATGGATCTGAGTGTAAACTAAACCTGTTGGTGGTGGACAAGTTTAAGACGGATATCTAGAAATCAGTTTGTTTTTCCTTCCTCCATATATGCCTGTCATGTAAGTATTTTTGATTCGTTGTTGTGTGTTGATGATAGTACTTACAGATTATCCCTGAGCTTTGCCATTATCTCCAAACAGGCAGTGTTTTATTTATTWATTTTTTTTATATCAGTCAGTCATTTTTTTTATCCTCCCTAGCATCACATTACAGACGCATCGTGTGCCTTGTGTTACAAAGCGGTGTTGTAACTGGATGCCAGGTACTGTTAGTAAAACATCAGTGAAGGAACCTGAAGCTGCATTACTTTTTAATCCTGTGGAAAGGTCATGATTAGCCAGTTTAATTACAGGCTGACCTGAGCTCTGATGGTGATGGCTCCACTCTGTCACTGCAGGTTGTCTCTGCTAAAAAAGACTGTCAGCAGAGTTGGGTGGTTGGCAGAAATTATTGATGAAGTGCTTCACTGCATGAGAACGGTTTGTTTCCATGTCTCTTTCAGTGTTAAGGAACCGATGATTTTGGAAACTGAAGATGACCGAGAAGAGMGACCAGCACTCGTTCCCAGTTTGTTCCCCCTCATCCCTCCGACACTCTACTTCAGCACAGCAAATGAGAGAGGTCAGGACTTTAATGTGGGCTMAAACAAAGTAGAACTTAATATGAGCTGTTCTTTTCTGTAAGCTGGAGCCACTTGTTTTTATTTATTGTCTCACAAGTCAATGTCAGTTTATTTATATAGCACATAAAAACAACAAAAGTTGACCAAAGTGCTTCACAATTCAGCCAAATTAATAAAACAACATAGCAACACAGAAACGTAGACAATAAAATCAATTTAAAATACAGAAAAACATTATATTTAAAAGAATCTCAAACTCTATCAGAATGAAAGTCCACCGCACTTAAGATTTTTTGTACTGTCCAGAGTTGTAAAGTAACTAAGTACAAATACTTTGTTACTGTACTTAAGTAGAAAATTTGGTTATCTGTACTTTACTTGAGTAATTCTTTTTCAGCGTACTTTTTACTTTTACTCATTACATTTTTACACAGTTATCTGTACTTTCTACTCACTACATTTTTAAAAAAGGTAAGAAGTAGAAAGTCGTTACTCCTATATTATTCTGAGTTGTTATTACTTAAAAAATACTATCCTGATAAATTGTGTCTCCTGGATAGAGTGAATTTAATTGTGTTTGAATGAGAAGTATAAATATATACCATTCTGACACCCTATTAGCTTGTACACAACCCATCACAGCTGCACCCTGTCAGAAAATATATTTTTTGGAGAAGTCACCTCCCAATAAATGTCATTTTGGAAAATCTAACTGCTCACTTTTACTCAGTACTTTTACTTTTAATACTTAAGTAGATTTTGTGTCAGAAATTTACTTTTGATAATTAAGTACAAAAAATATCAGATACTTTAAGACTTTTACTCAAGTTAGAGAGAAGACTTTAACTTTTACCAAAGTATTTTTATGATAAGATACTTGTACTTTTACTCAAGTGTCACTTTGAGGTACTTTATACAACACTGGTACTGTCCTAAAAGGCTGTTCAGACATTTTGATAAATTCCATCAAGTGCAGTAGGGTTGGGCAATATTGGCAAAAAAAATTCATCACAATTAATTGTGGTATTTAGTCGATAACGATTAATTTGACGATTAATCCCCTGGAGTCCATTATGTCCTAGTCACATGACCAATTTAGTGGGAAAGATTTGCTCTTTGGAAAAATCTGTTCCAAATTGTGTCAAAATTACAGACTTCAGGATATACTGTACATCAAATTTTAAATTGTGTTGATCATAAATTACAGAACTTTTTTTAATGTTTGTCATATTTGAAGCAGAGAGGATCAGCGAGCGGACTCTGCCTAGTGACATTAATCGTATTAATCATCAAGTGCCAAAAAATAATCGATTAATGTTTTTCTAACAATTAATTGCACACAATACGATTATGCCCAACCCTATTGCACAACCAAACTGCATTTGGATAGCTTAAATACAGGTCTGAGTGGACTCAAAGTTCTTTAAAAACGGCTTCACTCAGTGGAGACTGTAGTGTAGTCGAACTGTAGTTTGTTTGTCTAGAAAATCCGGTTCATTTGGGGAGGTGTGAACGTGAACTCTGATGCGGACCAAAAAAGCAAAGTCTGGTCCACCAGATCAAATAGAGTTCTGGATCAGAGTGAATCTCCGTGGGATTTTTGTAGATAAAACGAAAAAAGCAAGCAAACTCTCTTTGTTGGATTTTTCAAATTTAAAGCTGCAGCCGTGTTAGTTTACGATCCTCCTTCGTCTGCATAAAGTGCAGTTTGTAGGGCGCTATGCCCATAGACTTGAATAAGATCACTAGACTCAGCCCTGTCCACTGGTAGTGTCTGTGACATCATGGAGGAGCAGAAACAGACCTAACAGGCCAACAGCTCACAGCCTCCGTAG